AAGTCTAACATAACCAATTTCTCCGGTTGAATGTTCCTACTAATTATGAGATTTAAGTTACTTAGAAAACCATTTTCTTCCCTTGAATGCCGTTTTTAAAATTGATACTAGACTATGACAATGTTTTTGTACCAAGTTAGAAAATCGATTCAAAACAATGACTGTAGCACGAAAAGTTCTGTCGCGGGAACAGCTACTTGGCTCTACATCATGTGAAAGCAAATGAAGGGGGAGTTTTTAAAAATCCACTTACTTCAGCAACAAATTCTACTGTGGCTGAGGATTTAGTTTACTAGATGACGCGTTAGCCATTTGCAAGATAAAGTTACATATGAATTTATTATTTAGATTGAAGGTGGCATATCAATGGTATAATTAAGGATAGAGAAGAAATAAGTAATAATTTTGGAATGAGACTTTTCACAAGTAAATAAGGAAATTAAAGGAGGGTAAAACAACAATTACAAGAGATTTATATATAAAAGAGTCGTAAGGCTTAAATGCGTTTCAAATTTCTCACAGACTCTAAAAAGCCAAAGTAAAGGTAAAAACATGGGAAAATAAGTTGGAACTTTGGACTCTTCTTGATTTGTTTTGTTTTAACTTCTCGCCGGTAGCACAAAACACCCTGATTGATTCAGCCGCATAAATTTATGTAGATCGCATCACCCCAGTCCATTTTTCATCCAGCTGAATGATTCAACATCTTCGTGTGCAGCTTTTCGAGTGCATTTCCAGGTCGCGGTAAGGGAAAGGCGGGGAACCTTCAGAGGTAATTTCTAGTTTAATGACGATAAAGGCGAGAAATCATGATACTTAGGCATTTTAAGATTCAGTTTATTGAGTTATGCTACTAAATATTTTACCCTAAATGCACAGATTGCTTGGCGAGGACAAATGTTAAGTGCCTTTGCAGGTAGTGGAGGTTGCTCAAGCTATGCACGATACCTGATTTCATTTACTTATCGTTTTGCCAGTATGAGGGGTCAACCAGTGCATAAATACGACTCAACGTTAGTTTTGAATATGCGAAGGCCTTATCAATATTGCTTCTCATCTTCTGTGACACTATTATGCAAATAATGTCTACACTGGCGTGACGGAGTTTTTGAAATTTCAAAGCAGCTTCCTGTAAACTTCATGTTTTCAAATTGATGCCTCTACTGAAGAAAAAGGATGATGTTTTGGATGTTTGGAGATTAGTCACCCAACTCGTAAGAAGCTGAAAGCAGAGAAACAAAACAGCCTGAGCGACTAGGACCTTACTCTTTTTCAAATCCCCACGTTTTGATTCCTTATGAAAGCTTGAAAAAATTCTGCTAAGACATGCGTGATCCGCTAGCTTCGGGCACTTGACCAAGCCAAATCCGCACATTCATGAGAAAAACGCATCAGGGTATTAGGTGTTAATACCTTAAATTCAGCTCAGTGTAGCTCATTGCGAAGTCGATGGGAAGTTTGCAAATAAAATTTCGTGAATTTATCAGATGAGCAACGATAGTTCCAGTTATTTCCGGGCTTAAATTTACGGCCTTTTTAAAAGGTATGCGAAGTATAATGGGACGTAAAGGTAGCCGTGAAAGCAGAAGCAACAGTTTTATACCAAAGGAAATCAAAAAGGTTGGTAAGCCAGGTGAAGCGGGAGTATGAAGATGCAAACAAATGTAACACAGTACTCGGTGGCAATGAAGCAGCAGATCTAAATGCTACGAAATAATACGTCGAACCTAGATTATGCGATTTAAAGCACTTCAGTCTGGTTACTCGATTTAGAAGTAAAAAGCATTAAAATTTAGTAAAATATAGCATATTCAATGTGTTTGCTGCAATATTAAGGCCTGTATGGCACTACCATTCACTGAAAAGAATTTCCGGGATCTGAATGCAAATGTCTCGTATCTACTGCTGCCTCCACCAGTCCAGTCAGCCACATCACGCTGACTTATTTCATCAACAATGTTAGGCAAACGGTACTTCATGACTGACAAAGGAAGCATTGAATTCTTTGTCCTCTTTGAGTAGCTCTAATACCTGAAGTATGTTATAGGTATTCTACTCTCTGATGTTTCTGAGATAGGTTTTTGTAGGCTTCCGACAAATTTTTCTTGCTGACTTATCTCGAGCCTAGTAAATACTGTTTTTTCGGACACTGGCCTGAAGTGCATGATCTTTAATCCTATCTCCTTAATTTATGAAAGTCGTCAGACATTTGAGCCAGAGGTTATTCTGCATCAATTGCAGGGTTCGCGTTTCTTCTGCAAACTTGACTCAAAAGTTACCCTTTTACAGATTCCTTTTAGGATGCCCCCAGAGGTATGTGTACGATCAGTACTCATTTAAGATTCATTTGCCATAGGCTCCTTCCTTTAGGTCTGAATGTTTCGCTGCCAATCTTTGGGAATATGGTGAGTTTTGTCACGAGTAACTAGGAGAGAGGCGCGATTTACCCCAATCATGTCGTTGCCCATGCTCCCAAGATACAACTTCATACTCTAAAAGTCTATCATCGGGAGGCTTAATTCATTGCATGGGAGTGTATTTTTGGCACGCCAACCATTTTACGTCTTTGGTTTTTGATAGGCGAGGACACTTATAAGCTTAGTTCCACTCTCTTTTCCTCACTCTTTTAATCTCCATCCTCACCGTCTTTGATTCTGTTCTTTGATAGACCATCATTAGTATTATTCCCGATTTTTCTTGCCTAAATTTACTGACCCACCAAAGCCGTTATTTGATCTGTGATTTCGTGGTACCCTCACCTGATTGGACTCAAGCGAACATGCTGAGAATCTTTTTGGATTTTTTTTCTTCCACACTTTTACCCATTTTTCTCCATATCCACACCAACTATGTACACAGACATTCCTACAACAGGCATCGCTGCAGTATTAAAGAAATATAATTGCCCTATTTTGGGGTATGTTCAAGCTCATAAGGAGACACTTGCACGAAGTTTCCTACATATTTGTTCGGTAAGTGCTTCACGGTAGCCACTGACTGCAAGGTCGTGAAATTTACCTACAATTCTTAGAACTTGTTGACAAAATTCTCCGCTTCAATGATTCAACGATAAGCATTGCATTAGCTACTTATTCTAGAGATTTTCATCACTACAGGGCTAAGTTTATGCCAGATGCTACCGCTGAAGAGGTAATACCTCCGACTTCCTCCTTTCGTAGCTAATACTTATTCCACGGGATAAAATCATTTGCGTTGCACCAAGCATCAGCATGCCATTCTAACTTCATTGTGTGAGGTTCGTATAATTCCATAAATGTCATAAGGAATTTCAGAATAAATCTGATGGATTACTGGATTCTGGAGATCAACTTATATTCTTTCTACACTGAGATAAGCAATCTTGAAGAAGGTTCATACAAGAACATCACGATGATTTTGAAGGCTGGTAAAGCATGCATGCAGACTACCATGTTCCATACTTAGGCCAATGCAATGAATAGGTTACTTCAAATTCATACATTGATCAGAGGATGTTCCTTTGTGTATATTTTACTCCAAATGTATCTTGAAAAACATTCATCTGAAAAAGAGTGTCTAGTGGATCGGTGACTGGCGCCTGGACATTCGTGGCCCCAGTCGTTCCGCTAAGGAATTTGTGCTACTCCTTAAGAGTACCTTCAAATCTGACAAATCCTAGGATGGACATTTTTCTGATGTAGCACTGAAATGCTGCGCAATGTGACGTACCTCTTCGCGAGTCATGTTTTTAGGCCAAATATACTTAATCTGGACTCAGCATATTTCTTGTATTCGTTAGAAATTGTAGCCAAGAGTATGACCCCTTGTTCGTGTCAACGTCTGGCATTAGGTCTCGACGATTCGTTGAAGATAAGCTAATCAACTTATGCATGGGTGACCAGCATCTGATCTCCTGATTCAAGCACCAGTTGCAGAATTCCTCGGTGCATTGCAAATGCCAAACATCTGAAGAATCTAAAGACTTCTGACGAAATACCGCAGCTAAAAACTACAGACTGACTTACAGTAAAGCACCGGAGTAACCCGGAACTCTTATTTTCTTGTATACTGCAGTGGATTTTGTGAACGGTTCGGCGCACGGTATCTCTCACTACTCAGATTTTATTCAACTGTCACTATGAAATGCCCAATGGCTCTCAAATAACATCCAACGTTGGTTCGGATGCGCAGAGATCTTATTCCTACTGAGATTCTCGTCATCTTTAGCATTATCCCAATATATTGTATCGAAATATGTTTACACAGGTGAATTAAATTTAATATTATTCTTTTTGGATCTACGGTTTATAATTCGTGCTTTACGAAAAGATAATTATCTGACCTTCTTTAAAAACTGCTTTATTCACGGAAAACAATGCGTAGCTGTGTAGCAGGATAATATTATTGGCATGTGCTAGTGTACACCACTTTATATTTTCCCATAGTTAACAGTATTGTTTATCGTACTACTCTAAATATGCGCACGAAAAGGTAATTAGACCAACCAAGCCTATTTTCAAAAAGCCAGACTACAAGATGATGGCTATTTAATCAATTTTTAACCACTGTTATATAAATAACACTTTCCTGCCTAAATATTTCCTACTGCTATAGAAATCGCTACCAAAATAACAAATAAATTAACCGCAATTTGATTGTGCATTCAAAAATTTAAAGAATTGGTTTCCAGCGACTCCTTTTAATTCAATTTACCTCTAATTTTTATAATTCATTGAAGAAAGGGATAGGGCATATGAAGAACTCGAGAAGACAGGAAGATGCTGGTTTAAATACTGAAGACCTAGTTTTTTCTGCAGCCAATATGGAAGACATGTGAAATGATCGAAACTGGGTCTTAGTAGGCAAATAAACATAAGTATCCAACGTAGCTACAGACAACCGCATTTACTGAAGCCAAGGTGGGATTTTTTAGGAGGTAAATAGGCAAAATTTATTTATAGATAAGGCTCCCTGCATTTAAATATCTCACTATCTAGAAGTTTCTAATACATAACAAATTTATGGCAATTTTAAAACAGCATGTGATAATAATGAGTGGATCACCAGTTCAAATTTGCATGAAACGTTCTAAATTGGTCAAAACTTACCAATTTACACTGGAGCGTATTCATCAAGTTTAAGTGAGACTGACACCTAATTTTTTAAAATGATGCATTAATAAAGTGGAGCTTAGTGAGAACAAACATCGTTTTCTGATAGAAGTGGTCTGGAGAGAGTGGTGGCAAAAACGACTACTTATAAATGGTGTTGATTGGGGCGAACTTGGCAGATGCGAATAAGGTGACATAAAAAGTAAAGTGAAAAATCTGCAACAGCGACAGGCGGCTATTGCTACCTGTTCCACAGCGTCTGGACTATCCATTTGGTGACAGTTACGTGTTCTCGAGGAAGAACAATTGGTATATTTAGAGGGGCCGATGAAACATTCTTAATAGAAAAAAAACCAACAAGAAAAAACTAAGTAATTATTTAAGTGACCAGTCGCTTGAAGGTTTCTTAAAAAGCCAAATTCTTGAACCCTAAAAAGATCTTGCAGACGCACAAAATTTGGGCTCGCCCTTGATAAACTCGGCTCTGACAACCCTCATTTACTTTTTATTCAAGATCTAAGATTTTTGATTGAATTTAAAGTTGCACAGGTAGAAATGGAATGCAAAACTCTAGAGAAGCATTTATGATTCTAACATCGCTAACAGAATGTTGCTGTGCAGTATCTATTAGTAAAACAGTTTGTTTTTAGCTAACAAATTTTGATCAAACTTAGGTAAATCTAAATCCCAGCAAAATTTAATTACTTTTTGTGAAGTGATTTGTATTAATTAGTCCCGGTTCTCAAAATGGCAAACTGTATTGAAAGACGTTAGTTGTTTAACTCTTGGTTTTGGTAAAGGGGCAACTCTGGTCTCCACTCCCGTGGCTTCATCGATTGGGCTGGTCTGAGGGCCATGCCATTAGCCTCATGGCCTTTTTTATGCTGACAATGCATATTCAGCCAAGTATTATGTTTTTTCGTCTTCAGGGAAGTCTCGTTGCGCTACAATACCATATCAAATGTAGATTAATACACATTGTAAACTGTCACCATGATACTACAATTCCCCAAAAATTAAAAAGGCGCATATAAAGTGTCTGAATTATAATACATCACATGTCTTGTTAGTAATTTCTTACATTTATCTAAATCTTACAGCATTATCCGTTTATTTGTTCGGAGAAGGTGGATTCTGGTTAGAAAGAAGTCGACTAATTACTCCTTAAATTTCGTGGCCTTTTATGGCACTCTCCGACAACAATTTTGCTATCTATTCACACAAACGCAATTCGCATTCTCGTCCTGATAGAACAGATGTTTAGATTGAGGAGGTAATACTACATGAGAGACTATATAAGATTAACCTTACTTAGCTATTTCAAAGCAATTAGTTTAATGTGACAAGTGGATTTTGTAATAAATGATAGGATATTGGTTTTAAACTTAATATAGATATTTGAGTTGGAGGACGTCTTGCTTCTTCTGCTGACACATGAACCGTAAAACCTGTATTGAGAAGGGTGTTCTTAGGAGTCTGGAAATTTTGAAGGTAGATCTTGAGGAACAAATAGTACTAAATTAGATGCCAAGGGTAGATGATAATTCTTAAAGTGAGCACAATAAGGTTACAAGTAGTTGCCGAAAACGACCAAATGATGTACTAAGTAGGTGATTAATCGGAATTATCCTTTCTCCAAGCATCAAAATTATGTAAATGATCTTCAAAAATATTATGAAATGAATTTCATAAGCCTCCTTTTACTTTTAGTAATTGATTTTCTGCTAGGTTAAAAGTAGAATGATTAGCGAGTAGATCATTTTTAAAACTTGAATACGAAGTTCATAGTGTTGAATAATTTACTGATGATCTGCGAATAAAAGGCGAACTGTTAACCTGCTTTAAGCAAATGAAGTTTCTTCCGCGAAAAAAATTCATGGTAACGGATCACTAGAGTGTTGATTTGGTTTTTCTGGTACAGCTTTGTTCTCTAAGATGCCCTTATTTTATTGTTGGCTTGTTTGTACAGCGGAATCGCGTCTAAGCAAATGTTAACATCGCAAAAGCTTTGTTTTATTCATTAGAAACATTGTTTTTTGAAGAAGGCCGGCCTAAGAAGTGACGTGCACTCAACACAAAAAGATGGATTAGTTTACAGGACCTCGATGAGATTGTGACGCATTAAAATCTAGCATGAACTACGCGTAGCATGCAAATGTTGGCGGTTTAGAATTTCAGATGATGGTTAAGGAGATTTCGATCGTTCATATTGATGGGTGCACTTCTTTTGAATTCATGTTCAGTCCTAGGCAAACATTTTACCCTCCTCCAGCACTTTGAACTACCCGGACATCATTTTCCTACTAACTAAGGCCCTTAAAGTTAAAATCCAGTTTTTCAAATATTTTAGCAACTACACGAGCAAAGTAGCATTATGGAGACGCGATCTGTATCTCTTTGGAAATACTAGACCACTCTACGTCCAAATGATTTGGAGTGGAAGAGACGAAACAAATATTGAGCAACTTGTTATAGTAATAGAGGGCTGTATTACATATCACGAGGAACCCAAGAATCATTTTAACCTCCGTTTTGCAATGCAAAAGTGCTGTGAATTTCAAAAGACGCGCAATGCATGTTTGTTTGAGTGCACTTTTTAGGTGAGAAGTATTCAGTGAAAACGAATCTTGTAACTTAGATGAAACCCCTTGGGTAAAAGAGTATTCTCGACTCCCATACCCCTCACTTCTGTCCCCTTCTCTAAATAAAACCAGTAAAAATGTCCTTACCTAGTCAGCTTACTTGTTGCAAGGGAATGAAGGTTGAATAAGGAGAGATAAGCGCCAATTTTTTTACACTGGTGGTAGCGTCAGCGGACCTCCCTTGTCCAAGGATGATGGGGTTTTAAAAAGGCTTGAAACGACCAAATTTAACCCCTAGCTCTAATCTCAACTCCAGAGAACACCAATGATCCTCCGTATCCTCCTACGGAATATCTTCTCGCTTGCTGTAGGCGCAGGTATTAACCCCTTCTACTGAGTTGGAATAATGTCACTCGACCTTATCCTAACTCATCATCTATCGGGAAGAGCAGACACTAGCCAAAGACTTTTCCTTCGCCACTAAATAGTGGGCAAAGACGGCAAGGAGTACATGAAAAACTTCCGGGTTCTAGCGGAATGAGCCTTTCTTAAATCACTCCCGGACAGTGTTGCTAGATGGATAACCGCGCAGTTCAGAAGCAGGTTTGATCACTCCTTATGGTCGAGAAGTTTGGCAGTGCAAATGCCAACCTTCTTAGCCAGATAGACAAGTTCGCGACCAGAAAGTGCTGAGAACTGTTTACGGTCCTGCGCAACGACAACCGGAACAGGCGACTAAACTCAAAACCTAAATATCAAGGTCCTCCACATTATATTGCTGAATTTGGCATACTTTCACTTTTCTACCCTGTTTGCTCCCAAAAGGGCTCCCATTCATTTCTGCAAGCCCCGGGTAAACCAGAAGGACGTCAATGCAAAATCCTCCTTGACTCTGGTGCTGTTAAATCATTAATGAGTTTTCAAGCCTTCCCTGCCCTTTGTCACACGATTAGGACCCCTTCACTGTTTACAAGACTACGTTTGGCATTAGGAAAAGAGACGGTATTAAAGGGGAATCCATAGTTAAAGGTCAGTATAGGCAAAGAATCCTGGTAAGTGAAGTGAATTATATGTCCAGAACTGGTTTAAGACGAGATTCTTGGCTCTGATTTTTCACAAAACACGAAAGCCACCCTGAATTTTTACCTGTCAAAACACTGGAGCTAATACAGCCCTTTTGATACCGAGTGAAACCATCGATGGTATTAGCAATACTCTCTTCGAGGCCGCAGTTATATTCATGAACAGCCTGGATGACCCTTGGGCGCAGCCTAGTCATGTCACCGTAAACGAGACAAAGGGGCTTCACAAACTACTGGCAAAGTACGCCAATACAATATCGTGGATAGGGGTTAAGCAGTATATGCGAAATACACGACAGGTACCGAGGAAGTTAGACCCACCTGACAGCCATCCAGACGCATACCACCTCCTCTGCTAAAAAGAAGTAAACCAACTAGTCAAACAGATGATTAGAGACGAGGTCATAAAGCTATAAGTCACTATGGCTCCCTCAGGTTGCTCTTATAAAATACGACCCAAGTTTACAGCTGTGTGTCGACGTTAGAAAGGTAAACGCAGTAACTAAATCAGCTATTATATTGCCAAACGGGTTTAACAGACTCCAGGCAATGCCATTTGGCCTCTGTAACGCGACAACCACCTTCCAAAGCTTAATGTAATCCATTTTAATTGGCTTATTCTCTATACATTGTGTAATCTTTTTAAATGCCATATCTTACTCGGTTGAGACATTTAGGAGCATAACGCCAACCTGGGTCTAGTATTGGACCACCTATCTCAAAAGGGTTTCCACTTATCAAATATGAAGATGAAGCTTGCGTACTAATCGAAAAAAGACCAACGCCAATGGCATGTGCAGAGACCATCCCAAGGGGGAGAAGAGAGGATGGTGCTTAAAAGGACGAGGGGGTTATGTAGTAAATGCTTGCATGCATGTACCTTTTAGGCGAGAAGCTTTCACTGAACCCGAATCTTCTAAATGGGAACCCATCAGAAATCCCTGAGGCAGAGGAGTACTCCGAACTTCCATACCCCGAACCCCTACCCCTTGCTCTAAACATTACTAATAAAAATACTTTTATCTACTCACTTCATTTGTCCCAAGGAAGGGAAGAAACGCATGCTAAATCTTTCACGGATGGCACTGATTTCGTATTTGTATGTAAATGCTTAATACCCCATCAAGAACTTTCCCGTATTTTATCGAGATTTGCCTCCGGATTTTCTATTTTAAGGCGAGAATTTTAAAGTTGCCTATCTATGTACAAATGCTGCGGCAAGAACTTCTGCTAATATTTCGGGAGTACGAATATGAATGAAATCCCTTAGTAATTGAGGTGTTACGATAAAAAAATCAAAAAAATCATATCATATCTTCTTCCTTGTGCAACCAGTTTTTTTACGAAAAACGAGCTAGGGTTCAACAAGCCTCCAGTTGATACATGATGCACCAATAGTAGGATTAACTCAACCTTAAAAACTTTCCACAAAATCCTTTCAATGTAATTGGCAAGAAACATTTTGAAACCCAAACAAAGGTATTTTATCCGTAAATGGAAATTCGCTTTGTGTAAAAATGATTTCGATCGAACTATTTAATTTTCATTCTTGTCCGTTTTTCATTGAATCTTCCATTTTTGAAAAATAATTTATCAAACACCTCTTCATTTTTTTATGAAGCGCATTTATTTTTTTTGATTAGCACAAAGGAAAATATTTTCATCCAAAATATTGAGAACGAAGAGATAAATGCTTGTGATTCTCGCCGCGATGCTACTTTTCTTTTTTTATTTTTCCCAAAAGTATATCATTCAAGTAAACGGATGTAGGCCACAGGTAAAAAATCCTCTTTAAACCGAAGAAAGGACAAGACAGAAGGAAATGCGACGGATTTTTTGGCATTTACAGTAAAATGTCCAAAAGCATTAATTGGATTATCTTTTATGTTTGATTAAAATATCTCTCATCATTTCATCACACGCTATCATCTTGCACCGCTACTTTTTGTCTATAGGCTTGTTGTAGCTCATTTAGGTAATAAAATCTTCGCCCTGGAGTGCCTGTAGTCTATCTTTTCATAGAAAAATAGAACTGGTAATGAGCACAAATACCTCAGCCAAATACATTGGCGTTTCGCTGTTATTCCCACAGAAGAGGAATGGGAGATTCAGTTTAGTTTTTCCAACAATGAGGCGTAAGACATGCTGAAACATGCAAAATATGACAGCCTTGGAGTAAACCAGCGAATTTGTTTATTAACATGGCCATGATAGTAACCGAATTGGTGACATTGTAGGAACCACAAAAATGATGCTAAATTTTACCAGGGTTATGTACAATTGGAGTTAATTCAGATTTAGTTGTTGACCTCCTGAAGAGAAAGTGCTGCCAATAACTCATTTAAAGTTCAGACTAAAATCACTCTCAAAGTAGATACATTATTTCCATGGATCAAATTTGTAATTCACGGTATCTTTATTATACTGGGTGACCAAAATGTTTGTGCAATTTCCGATGACTTGAGGTGACTTGTGGGAACTTGTAAAGTACAAGCATTATAAGGGATGGATATGAGCCGCTCTGCCTGTATAGTGTCATCTATTGTGTCCTGTACTACCTTCCAATTCACTTTGAATCCGCATATCTAAAAGTCTCGATTGAACGTGATGTGATTTTAGTTAGTCTACTTAATGAACCGATATTAACCTGTTGATTACTACATTTTCTTGATTTTACACAACTACTTGCGAACCAGATTATACAACTGGGTAATAAAAATGAGATGACAGAAACTGAGATGATTAGGGCTAGGTTTCTTGTTTCTACACAACAAAATTCCATAACTGCAAAGGGCAAAGCAAGTTCCTGTTGTCCGGAAAGCATCAGTCATCTGCTTTTCATAGAAACCTCATAGTAACCTATCAATCTATCACAAAAAAGGTATTTCATCTAAAAAACATCGATGCATACGAAAGCCAGGAAATGATTTAAAGGCTGACAAATATGTCTTGTTAAAGGGTGTGGACATTCATCTAGAGAGTGATTGTGGCGCACTATAATCTAGGGGCCATCAGCCATTGAACATGCGGAATCGTGTAGCTAACAAAAGATAAGGTCAACAATCATAGCTAATGACTAGCGGCTGACCTTCAAGTGACCATTAGTATACGTGTGGTGAAAACGGTTTGTAAGTTTCCATGCTTATAATTGGTTCTTTGCAAGAACCCCTCAATGGTAACTCTGAGCTGAGTAAACAACGTGGAAACATCGTTTGCCAAAGTTTATTCCCTAAAGAACACTAAATGTTATTATATTTGTTCCGGGATTCTTGTGTTTCATCACTTTAAAGGTGTTTTGAGTTTTGACTAGAATCTTGATCTGCGTAAACTAGTAACTAATGAAGGGCACATAAGCAGGGCGGTAATAGACAAACGTCTTTAGCCAAAACATTTATCCTTCAACAAAACCCTTTGGAAAAAAGTTTTGTCATATCCAATAAAACCCCCTTTTAAATACCAATTCTGGGAAAAGTGTTTTATTTTGATGTTCTGTAATGCAGTGAATAAGTTTACTTCATTGGTGGCAGGAAAATGTGGTATCTCTTGATCCACTTAGGGTAATAGAAAATAGGTGTTAGAAGGAAGAGATAATGCTTGCATTAAAATTAGTAGTGACCAAGAAGGTGTAAATAGACATTCACCTCAATTATGCATGACAAGCTAGCGTGCAGATTTTTCTTCACACCTAAATGCCCATTGTTGATTCATGCATATCAAGACATCAACATTTTAAGAACACTGAATTTCACATCTAAAGTTCAAAGAGATATGCCCGTTTTTGCGTGGGTTATCTGGAAAATGAATAAAAACCCATCTGCAGTACAAATCCTTTCAAGATTTTTCAGAGGCCTTAACTATAAATAGCCTGTGCATATACACGTTCCCACATAGAACTATACGTAAAGTGCAAACTAAAAGGACTAATACCGAAATCGTTTTAATCCAAACCGTGGAAACATTTCATAAACCTTGCACTATAGTGGAGCACGATCTAACAGTACACAAACAGATGGGAAGGTTGATTCATAGAATTAATAAAAGTAAATGCGAAGTAAATCCCATCCACTTAATAAATAATTGTGTAAATGTCCTCTCAATTTCCCACTGTATTTAGTAGGAAAATACGACCAACTAGGCAGCGAAATGTATCTCAATTAGTGTAAAGACAAAAGCGACATTTTCATTTAGCATTGGGTTCGGTGCATAATTAGTAGCTGTCTAGATGGGCAGCCTTCCAGTACGATGGCCCTGTTTATAGAGCGAAAACGTTTAGCTCTTTTTCATAGTAAGGCCGTCACCGTGGATGAGGTAATTTCCATTGCATAAATTATGAAGCATTGTTTAAAACTTATCATGAAAAATCCTAGCCCCAAAGGAGTAAATATGTTTGGATATAGGAAAACTTTTTAAGTTGCTTTAGATGAAGAATAAACGAGGTAGGGCAATGGGTTCCTTCAGTATCTGTGTCCATAATCAAAGATGCAGTTAAATTTCTCCAAGTTGGACACATTAAAATGTCGTAATTGCCCGCAGTTATCGAGTTTAAACTTGTAAGGGTAATGTTCACTGTTACTAGAACCTCTCTTTCCTCCTTTAACATTCCGGACCTCATATGCATCTACCCGGAATAACATGAGATTCAGCTTAAGCAGGATTCGTATTAGAGCACAGATGATATATTCTATCGGAAACCAAGATCGACGAGGCAGTCAAAAAAATAAACGGGAAAAGAAATATTTGCATTAACTTAAAGACGTTGATACTAAGGATGACCACAAAATTCACCATTTTAAAGAAATTTGAAGTCAATTTTTACCATCTTCATGTAACAAGATCATTTTATCGAAAAATTACCTTTTTAAAATTGTTATGCAAATGCGTCAGTCTTAGCTTATCTCCAAGTTGATTGCTTGAATAATTTGGCTTAATGACCGTGTTTGTTTGTATTTAACAAACAATTAGTAAAAAAATTAGTTCGTCAGTGGCGCTTTCCGTACTCTACATTCATTTCCCTAAAACAAGGGACTTGAAGACTATCCTAACATTACCATCACAATAAAACTCATTAGGACGAATACACTTGAATTGCTAAAAAATAAGAAATGCAGGAGAAAATGAGAGTATGATCAACTCTAGAATCCGGCTACTTCAAAACAAAGAAAGGGAAACAATCAATTAGACCACAGAAAAAGACATTTCTTTTGCTGTTATCTGTGATAAAGTGGGAGGTTGTTGTGAGATGAAAGAGGGGAGAGTGATATCGGCTGTTCCCAGTGCACAATTTTAACACTTTATTTGCGTCTTAGATGGGACCTAAGTCCCTGCATTACCTTGCCGCAAAACGAGTAGAAAGAGTAAGATAAAGTGAAGTACCTCGATATTTAATAAACGCCTCTTATTCAATCTAAAAGGGAAAATTTGTTCCGCATTCCTATATCTCAAATAAAGCCTACACTTTCTCTTACTTTTCTTCTACAATCAATCAATCCCAAGTTTTAGGCCTTCTTACCGTCGCGGAGCTAAAAATAGTTTTCCTTAGCCACATGTTTTGAACCTGCATTTGTGTTTTCTGCACCTACATCTCTACTGAATCATTGTCAAGTTTCGTGCTTGTCCGCACGAAGAAGAACACGCAAATGGCAGTGCAGGCTACGAAAATTTTGCTAATAAATATGCGATGCTCTAGGGTCGTCGTTGTAATTAGCATACAGCCATTAAACACATCAGACACCATAAAGCCTAGTTCACCTAAAAGTATGCAGATCTCAGACTTCCAAACAGACTACCATGAGCACAGTGCTTCATCCCATCTATCCTTACTCGGGATACTGCAATAGATTCAAGCTGTTAAAATATACAATGACCTTAAACTTCACTGGTTGCCTTTTTTACACATCTTACTGGCATTTAATTCCTACTTATCAGGAGGTAAAAGCCTAAAATTGGTAGGTTATTGAGTATTTATCTTTCACCGTGATTTGACAGGTTACAGAGAAGATCGATTTGCCATTGTGTATATTAATAAAACAATAACCTCAAGGATATTACGAAGGTTTTAGGCAAAATATTAATAGGATAATAAAGAGGTTATCTTCAAATAAGGCGTTAAGGTCAATCACAGGAATTTTACAAGAGAAGAGAAAGAAAATAGCATTTATGAATTATGAAGTAAGTTTATGTTTGATAGGCATAAACAGTGAATTTTATATATACATATATGTTTCGTTAGTCAGCCTCTTAGGAAGGACTTTTAATAGTCTTCCAAATATTTATTAGGCAGATGATGTTTTCCTCTTTAAAGAGAAATTAAAGATTTTGGAAAACATAGTAAATACCAGTCGCTGGCATATTTATTAACAAATTACATACCCATATAATCGTATGTATATTCTAGATTTGAAAAATAGCAATAGTTTTGAGAGCTTGACCACTCGACTACTCTGGGAGTTTAACAGATGAATTCTAAATCTACATCAACATCGTTAGGATGCTTGTCGAATATCGTTCAAATCCTAGTCTTATTTTTAACATAATGGTATAAAGATTTCAAACAGTAAGGTCTATATTCCTACTGTTAGCGATAATGCGATTAAGCAAATCTTCAGTCAACTGTTCGCAAGCTGGGCACTTAACCCTTCCCAAGAAACTCTCACTCAGAAGTAAAGGCTGCTTATTGACTACCAAGTGGGTTCAATGACCAAGAAGGCATGATGCGCTGAACTCGATAGGCAAACACTAATTACCTAAAAATCTGTTTACTGAATTGCTTCTTCTTTTACCTACGGGTACGACAACTCCTGTGGAGATTAATGAACACGAATGAAGAGAAGAACTGAAAATCGTCGGATTTGATGGGCAAGAATGATACATCCTTCTAGCTTTTGAATTTTATTGAAATATTTCACGCTTAAGGTGAAGTGTGAAAAGAGAAGTAATAAAATTTAAACTGTCTGAGTTTGGTAACAATTATTTCTTAAGTAGCTGATTAATATGTAAAATTTTACATCTGTCTTAGATTTACACACTTTTACTGCCTAGGGAATTCCTGCCCCATTAATCCTGATGAAATTCTTCCACTTACCTAGCTATGGGCTTCGCTGTTGTGCTTGAAGGGGCAAAAAGTAAATTAGAGAATCACCAGAGTGTTATTCAGAACTCACGCAGTCTCAGCGAACCCTTGCAGATGAACTGTATGCCAGTAGCTTTGCGGTTAAATATGTCTTTTGCTTTTAAAAAACGGTTAGTTAGAAATTGGCTTCCATTTCAACTAATTATTTGCTTAGTCATCCAACTGACGTGAAATACCAAGATTTGTAGGAAGCACCCAACTATATTGATAGTTGCATGCTAGTGGTAATTGACATCCACTAGAGAACCATCACTTAATGGAAGGTCAGTTAATAAAAGTTGACCAGCATGTGCTCTCTTTTCAGTAAGAGACCTTTAGCAAGTGCATAACACCCATTTTAATCATTTTAAAAGTCGATTTTTACGGAAGCTGTAGAAAAGTTCACAATGTTGGTGGAATAACTATTTCTTCTTAAAGTAACGAAGTTGAGAGAAGGGCAAATTAAAAGTTGGGTGGTTAAATTAATAGAAACCTGCTCGAATAAGTACCATTTTCCCAGAAGATTCCGCCTCTCTCAATTAATTCTTGTCACGTGGGTAAGAATACGCGACAATGCGCTGGATCACATTTTAAGCAGATGAAATGTGAACAAACCTTTATCTGGTCCCACAAACTTTTGCTTGTCATTTCTGACGCAAACAAATCTCAACTTTACACGTGTTACATATACCTAATGCTGAAAATTGGATGCATGTTTCCACATTAAATGTGATAAGTCTTAGTTAGCAGGACGGGTTAAATTTTGATAAGATTTTACTTACAAATTTAAAAAAACTATTGTTTTGCCATTAACGACAGTGCAAAGATGAGAAGAAAAAATTGCTTAGCTCATGAGTAATAATTGCAGCTATAAAGATGGCCCTAATAAGCTTGACAAGATGAAACTTCCTGCATTGAGAATTACATTTTTTTTGCAAGTCCCACTGAATGAGATTAATGATGGCATGAAGTGAAATTATTCCTTTAAACGTGATTTTTAACAATAATTGTAGGTAGGGTAGAGTCTGAAATATGTAGAATATGAGTACTGATGTCATAATATCTCAACGTGCACGTGACTACAGAGGAAGCCATGCATAATCTCACTTCAGCCATCTCTCATGTGTGAAAATGTTTACAACGCACGTTTGAACACGCGATTGTCGAGTGGCTGCGGGGCCCTGAGGCCAATACTAAAACCACCTGATTGTTCTCATAGGCCGTCGCGAATTTGCAATTAGCGGTGATTGAGCCTTACACGAGGTCTGGGGACTGAAAAGCATGATTGCTTTTAGTCAAGTTTGCTACCTCAAGACGCACCTAATACTTTGTTTGCAGTTATTTTACTTGGCGATGTTATTGCTAGATTCAACTGGGTTGGCTGTTAAAATATGAAATAATTATAAATTAGATGCTCCTTTTAGCCCATTAAACTGCATTTGTGTTTTTATAGCAAGCAGTATGCCTTTGCTGATTGGCAGCAAAAGCAAATGCTTACTACTGCAAATCATCTGTTGCGACAACTCCACTAACTAGGCTGCGGCAGCAGACCACGTGCAGTCCTAAAAGCAATATTATTGTGAAGATCGATTTGAGCCAGTAAAGTAAATTCAAATTCCCGGCCCATCCTTCATCACTATTGCCTTAATAAGAAGTACAACAAAGAGCAAGACGCAGCAGCTTTGAAAGCGACTAAGTTTTGGTACAATTTAAACTTGCATCAAATATCTGCAGACATTGAAAATTTTAGGGGTGACATCATTATAATTGGGGCGTTGCTATTTTTAGACCTAATAGATGGTTATAATTTGAAAAGATGGGACGGATGCCAATACAGCCCTAACTTTGTTAAGCCTCCAGTCGTATGTAGCAATCATTTATAATAAGCGGATTATTTACCTTTCCTTCTTTCCGTCTTCTTCTCCTCTTGGTTAATTTATAGTTCTTTTGCAGATAAAAAACCAAACAGCAGAGGAAAAACATGCTAGCCCACAACGTGGCCTAAAATTTTTTCTTAGAGGTAGATAAAACCGATGCAGCTATAACCACACGAGGTTTGTACCAACAGAAAACTGGTTTAGGTCTCCTTTTAGTCATTCAGTCATTCCAAGATTTGATTAAAGATCCCTTTGTTTCACCAATGCAGTAAAATCTTGATTACCAAAAATATCGAAATCAAAACTTTTCCTATCGAGTTCTTGATTAAGTGGACCACCTCTAATATAGAAGGTAAATCAAGTAGGGATTAGATAGGCATGCAGACATTGACGTATAGTGTTCCATGTGACATCGTGTTAGTGACATTTTTCCACATGTAAATAGACGTAGAATGCTTTATGAAATTGCGCAGTTTGAAAAGTCCAAAAAAATATTCGTTCTGATTTTCTAGTTGTTAATTTAAGGAAAAAGGCACCCGGAGATTCTGATTGACAAAAACCATCGTATATTTTTGTCACATGGATAATTAGAAATGTGCTGACCAGCTCAGTGACTCAGGTTAGGACACATCAAGTAAATGATTCAACAAGTGATAAGGGAGGCTACAGATATTTGGGAATTGGGGAGAGTCACGCTGAAATTTGATTCTCTTTGCTGCCAGGTAATGCGGATCAAGTCAATTTTAAAGAACACTTTCGTATATCAAGCAGCTTCTGATGGGTAAATTGGCTGCTGATCCTCTCACATGTATATTTGCCTGTGTTCTACACACCATTCCGTTCCTTATAGAACATTTAAAACATCTGCCCAAGTAGAGTCTTTTCCCACCCATCAAGAATTCATTTAAAAAAGGATTTTATTTAGTAATTACACATTTAGAAACAAAGGTATAAGCCTACACATCCACACATAACTTCTCCAATTTATATCGAAGCACTGCTTCGTATTTCGACGTATTGTTTTATTGACTTTCTTCTCGTAATGCAACGGAAAACAAAGATGTGCATGTCAGGGATTCCTAAGACGAAAATACCGTCGATAGTGTAAACAACTGCATCACATTTAAAGAAGTAGTCCTAGGGAAGCATATTTTACTGATTTAGTTGATGCGTTAAAAAGGCTGCCCTCTCCCCCATTCCCCATAATGCAGCAAAGAATAGGCACAAATAGATCATCAATATTCTTCTTTTACTAGGTTAAAGTAAGAAGTAACAACAACTATGGGATAAGTAACGTAGTTGCAACATCTGCGAAGATTTAAGTACTAGGGTAGAAACTAGCTAATCCAGTTCTATTTAAAATAAATTTTTATCCCACTTCCCTTTATATTTTTAGCCTAATCAGCCTGCCTCAAGCGCAAGGTCTTCGTTTGATTTAAAGGTGAATTAAATTTATGATTCAAGCATTATAAATCGAAAAACATTTAAATAGAGATTCTGAACGGAGATAATTAATGTGACTGTGAGTTATATCTTATTTACTGCCCAAGATGTTACAGTTTATTAGTAGAGAGCATGTGCAAGTATGGCAATGCTGGCCATTCAATAATAGACTGGAATTTGGGGGTGACTATACATAACACTGTGTGGCTTGCAATGAAAAAGCTTTGTATAAATTTCTTCAATTTTATCAGGATGTCAGGTGAATAGAAAATTGGGGTGATCCAAGCATGCACAAAATCTAATTAATGCATAGTGTTACTGCTAATTTTAAGAAGTATGGGAAGCTAAATTAATTCATGGTAGGCTTTTTGTTTGTTCCGTCATTATGAAAATAAGAAATGAAATGAATGACATAAAAAAATGCACCGTAGATGAAAATGAAAATGAGCTTTTTGATGGGTTGTTTAAGCATAAACATTTGTGTTATACATCAAAACGGTTAGCTTTGATCATATTAAGAGGAATATTGTTTTCATATCATAGAACTTGAGAGATATGAAATCCTAATTTTATAAAAGAAAACAGTAGGCAATGGTATTTTCATTCCAAAGTATCCCTTATTTAGCCTATAAAAATACAAGCAAAGAAAGCCAGAATCAATTAAAACCCTCTTGCAGAAAGGTAATAGAAAAATAAGCAATGTAGGTAATTATGCTAATGACGGAAGAAATGTGCAACTCTAATCATTTCTTCTGAACACCGACGTTTTTACCCAACAGTTAAAAGTCATAAAGCCCTTTATTTCAGAATCTGGCAGAAATAATAAATCGGAAGGCTATTTTGAAACATCAAATTAGTGTAATCTACGAAAAAAGGGAATGATACATGATTAATGAGCTAGTAAAATACCTGTTCTAGTTTGAAAACGCCAAAATTTTTGCTCAAGGTCCAATAAAAATCGCGCATACTTCCAGCATGTTACTACAAGATTTTGCCTGGATTTCGACAAATTACAGGATTCGCAACTTGATTTATTGCCTAACGATAACACACAAGCCTTCGTCATTTCTATTTAATAAAAGATTTTTGGCTTTTAAACTTTGGCGCCGTTGTCATTGTGTTCCATGTGCATTTGCATTTGCAGCAAAGTAGTCTGCTTTCGTAGTTTCACCCACACGTGATTGTCACCATACAAAATTTCCTCCAACACGCAACTATATGCTATTAAAGGAGCAAAAATAGCCGCACGATCGCCTTATTATGCAAAAAATTATACCTGTAGGGCCTGTATCACAATACTTTTTTAAAGTTTCCTCAAAGTGACACTTAAAGAATTATGCAATCACTTCTTTTCTCCCAGGTTCTAGCATTAACACATGCATAAACTGACTACGCTATTCTGATAGTCATTCATCTTTCAGCTGTTATAATTTTGTGCCAAGGACCATATGGAAATCCATTTATTCTGACCAAATGCAACCACTCTATCAATCTGCTGCTGCAATAATTTCTTAACACTTAAAGCAGTGGCAATTCTTCAGTTTAAAATCATGTTCGTGAGGCTATTACAGCCAAAGCAAATAATGCAAACTTAAATTCAAATCCCTACTAAATTCGAATAACTTAAAAGTCAAGACAATAGGTCCTGAATAATATCGACAAATTAAGTCCATACGAAAGAGAGAATCCCAATTAATGAAAAACCTCAAGATTAGAAACGCCTAAGTGATACAATAGTCCCAGAAACGCCCTCTTTAACCTCTAAAAAAATATATCCATAGAAGAACTGGTTTATTAAGTGTATATTGGTATCCCTAAATTACTGTTTATATGCACATGAAATGACTCATCGATTTGCACCACAGTATTTCATAATTTACTAAGTACACCATAGTTCATTTATCATGAACGGAATCAAGTATTTTAAGTCTTTTTCTTTTCTTTTAACTTGATTCGTCAGCAGACAGATTTTTGGTATAAACATCTTTGATCTGCACTAAGAAATCACCAAGTAGATCTACAATATTCATATTTTACCACGTTGTGCCAAAATTGACCAAAGGGATGCTCTTATTTGAATTTCTAATTGCCTAAGTCTCGAGAGATTTTAAAACTGGTACCGATACTATCAAGTGGTCTGCAAATAACCCAGCTCAATTATTCACCCCTTTTTGGAATAAGGCTCCCCTACGTATTCTTTTTCCGTAACAGTCTGCCTTGTCTGCATTAAATAGATTCCATATGTTACTTGCTCTTATGGAGTTAAAATTGCGTTAAATACTACAGCGGATTTGTTATTAATGAATCTAATTTTGTACAAAAGTCCCAATCAAAACCTTCTTGTGGATTGATCTTGATGTTATTTCGCGTTTTGTCTAACGCGCTTTCTTCAGCAGCGACTATATGTCCACAATTAACACATATACTTAGCTGTCCTGAAGTATATGTGTTAATTGTGGACATAGAGTACCAAAAATAAAATAAAGCTCAAGGCGTATATTTACTCCGCCATATGCTTTGAACCCTCGAACTCTTTAAATCTTGAACTCAAGAAGGGACCATGCACATTTTCCTTTCTAATCCGGATAAAATTGCTCAATTTCTGGCCATGTGAAAACAAAGTAATTATAACAAATGCAATTAGACTTCCTAAATACACTTAAGCGGATTTCATACTAATTTAAAAAGTGGTTCTATTTTGCCTCTTTTCAAGCGCCTTATAGAAATGTTGAAATCGTTTTTCCATGAGGACAGAGATCATGTAGAAGTGGCTACCGTCTTAAAATTTGGTTCAAAAATTAAAAAATGTTCTAGGCTGTTAAGAAACAGTCCTCAGCTCTTCACAGTGCTAAAATGAGAGTATCTCAAGATTTCCTAATAGTCATAGGTATCCGAGACCTAACTTCTTAAACAATCAAAAGCATGGAAGACTTACAATTCCAAAGAGATTTCCAGAAGCACTCCCTTTTTATCTAGCATTATTGGCTCGATAGACTCTAATAATCAAGACTTGGGTAAAGTGAAGAACCTTTGCCATACTTCGAAGGAATCGGCCTTATCTGACTCACCGAGTCCGAAACAACACTTACTCCAAAGCGTGAATAACTATAGCAATTTAAAATCACTTGCCTTTACTGTCTTCTTATCAGAAACGGATAGAACATACACAATTTTCTGCGCCTAGTATCTAAAACTTATGATAAGATTATCTTTAGGGCACTTTTATTATTTTTTCGAGTGTTTGTAAGAGCTATCATCATTTGTCAAAATTAAGGCGTTGGTTATTTAGTTGTAAATATATGCTTATTTTAGAAAAAAAGCCTTTTAATTGGATTTTGTTGAAAACTTTCACTAAGATCGTATTACAAAATGAAATAGAGCAGAACGATCGAAAAATTCACTTTCATTAAAATTCTTGGATGGCATAAATATACAAGAATAATTTTACTTATTTTTGAAATGTGAGATCTTTAAGGACAGACCAAATTTTAAATTACTTTTAACTTGCCTTTTAGAGCAAACTACCCAGTCATCAAGTAAAATAATTCCATTTTTAAAGGTATTTTCCAACCTCAGTAGATTTTTGCAAAAAATGACTTGTGATTGTTCTTTCCTGCAAGGATATTTATCATTTTACAGAAACAGAACATGTGACAAAATTGGTGCGTCATAAACTCACATCAAATCCCAGAAAATGTATACATTTGGTTATTTGTAAATAAATAGTGACCAATAATTTTCACGATCGGGTGGTGAGATCAAAAGCCGGGAGGGAATGCAGGTTGTATCAGAAATGCTAATTTACAGTGCCGAAGCGCCTTATACGCAAGCATGGTCAGACAACAACATCCAAGACACGGGGAGAAATTTTAACTATCATCCTAGCCATACACGCTTACCCCGAGAAATACCTTTGATCTAACCGCTTTCAGAAGAGGTAACGCACACAGGACACCACAGTGAAATTGCGAATTACATCTCGCCACCTGCTTCCCTCTCTCCTTCCCAGAACCGTGTAACGAAACGCTGTTGACATTTCCTTCCCCCTTTATGCGAAGCCATTTGTACAAAAAAGTTGTCTTTTTTCCACGAGATCGCTTGTCCAGAAAAAGGGCAACAAATGGATTTAAGCTGCTGGAAAAGCACTAGATTTTGTAAGAGCAGTCAAAAAATGGTAGAGTGGGATGCATCCGAAGATATTAAAATCTAGTGACATTTCGTCTTTCCAAGAAATTCATGGATGCATAATAACACTAAAATTAAATTAAAACATTAAACGGCTTGGAAAAGTGCCCCATTCTGCAAAATAAACAAGCTTTGTAGAATGAAATAAGTAGGGATGAGGAGGGATGCAATTAGTTGTAAAGTGGTTTTAATTTATAAAATGCGGATGCAATTCACTCTTTACACATATGTTTTAACCAACAATCCCCACCAAATTTAGATCAAGAGATTATTTTATAGGAGAACACAAGAGATTCTAATTTCCAAGCAAAAGACAAAAAATTATTTAGGGATCTAGAAGTACCTGAAGGATGATTAATCAGTTTTAGGATACAATTTGATTTGCGAGCAAGGCATTGTACCAAATAAAATGAAGGCAATTTAGTCGATTATATCTGAACCCCTTTATTGCCCATAATTAGACACTTTTTGACCTATAGATAATGACTCATTGGATGTCTTTGTTAATAAAATGCTTCTGAACGTATGAAACGACTTTAGAAAAAAATCATTTCTCTTGTGAATATATAGATATGGAAGTAAATGTTTTGAAGAAGTTTAATCTTTTTTCTGAGCTCATCTTGGTTGGATGATTACACTAACATATATAGCCTTTTTAGTACCATCTAGACACTGTTTGAAGATGGTCCACAACTGCATCGTTTTAAATATATCCCTTTGAAAGCAGTCATAGATGTCTGAATGATGCGGTGATTTTAAAGAAAAGCATAATTGTTATGTATAAGACATGATGTGCGCGTTCATTCGGAGATCTTATAGCGAGAAGAGACTTCCTAGATTTTTCATTCCTTCCTTTCAGAGTCACAAGCACTGAAGATAGAAAAATGGTCGACTTTTGCTCCTAAAAGATTTGTGATAGGGTGCAATAATATCGAGGCATACGATGTCATGACCGGTTGCTTGGGATTATTGACCTTTATAAAAGCCAAGGAAATGCACTGACCGAGCAAAATAGAAGTTAAACCGCTAGATAAACACATCGAGGGGCAGTCAAAGGGCCTGTAAGCTGCAATTAAGTGACAGACAGAACTGAACAACATATGTGCATAAGAAGAACAGACACCGACAAGGAGCGACTGATAGAGAGAGGTGCTTCAAAAGCTTATATACTTTATAATCTGTCGCAGCTTATTTTGTTTTCTGAAAATTAAAACTATGGTCAAAGGCATTTTGATAAATAAGAAAATGTTATTTAAAATATTTACTTCCAGAAAATCATTATTCATAGCGTTAGTTTTTAAGGAAATCTAACAACTCACCAAGTAATTCCTTTTGGCCTATTAGGAATCTCAGCAACAGCTTTTACTTTCCAAGCAGATTAAGTAACCATTTGGCCTACTGAAATGAGCAAATTACTCAAAAAATGGCCATTTTTTCCCGCCAAATTACTTAATCTTTGTCCTTATGCAAATGTATGTTGGCCCTATGGAAACGTTTTGCAAGGCTAAGGAGAATAACAGGGGAAAGAATATTTTTTACTTAAGAGTTGGCCCATTATCATCCAAATTCACTAATACATGCACACCTAGTTTCCTCCCGAGAGCAAACATTTGACCTACGAAAAGCATCACTTAAAATATAGCCAGCACTTGAAACAATTTTAGCCAAATGTGCTATTTTGCGTTAAATCGATTAAAGGTCATAATTTTGAAAATAATTCACAAAAAATCACCTTCCGAAGAATTTAGCTGAATGAGTTCCACTGGCAGTAATTAAACGTTTCAAAAAAGCTCCTTTTCGAAAACATGGCCTTGTTTAAAAAAGAAATACTAGAAGTAAATAAAAGTAGGTTCAAATCATTGCTTTTAACATAGCATATGGGTAAGATGTAAAGGTCAGGAAAATTTCGACCCCTTTCTTAGGTAAACCGTCTACGGTCATACAGATAACCTCATTAAGTACTCCAGATGTAGGATGAGTCCCATATTAAGCTGTTTTTTGTGTATATGGACAGATGTTACTGATATGTAAAGGTGTTCCAAATGAGAGCCAACCACTAAGAAGACTAATGAAGCTTTTCCAATATTATCATAAAAACTCTAATTTCGAAGTGTTATAGTTTAGCAAAAGACATTAAGTTTAAGAAAAAATTGTGCTTTTGTGAAAAGAGGGAATCGCAAGGTGTTTTTTCCTGTAAAATGATACAGAATTCATATAATTGTAATCTATAAATGTAATCTTAAAGGGTGATTGCATTAATCCTGCAAAATAAAACTTTCACCTTAGCAGCCGAAGTGTCTTGATTAATTTAAGCAACCTGATATCGCCACGTGATCGTGTAAAGTCGAAGAAACTTATTCGCTATCACGGCGCTTTTGGCTCTGGCTATGATAAATACTAGACTTCCTTCTACCTTACATTTGAGCAAAAAAGCTACTAATATGAATGAATTTGCACTATGTTCATGTTTTGAGATTTAAAGTATATTTGCCCATTTTTATTCATTCATGGATTTGATATGGTGGTGGATTTGCCAATACCGGTTAGGGTAATAAATATCAATCGAAACTTGGAACGAGAAAGGGAAATTTTTCCACGATTCCCACAAGACTGCCTTATATGCCAGAATACTCGACATTCTGATTTTATTACCACCTTTTGATGCAGGTACTTTGCCACTTTTGTTGATTGGGAAGTAACTCTACCCCATTTTTAGGGAAAAATATGCAAGCTCGTTGACACTACTTCTGCAAGCACCGAACCTTACTTTTTATTGTTTACATAAATTCATTGGATGTCTGAATTGAATTGATATCGGGGATGCATTTAAAACACTTGTGTTATTATTAATACTATTTCCATTTAGTTAATCTTTATGAAAACCACATTAGGCTTAGCAATTTTAACTAGCCTAGTTAAAAGGGGGAAAATATTGAACTAATACACCTTTAAAGAATCGATAAAAATTTATTTCAATTTCAAAATTGCGGAATACATTTGCTGAAATGTTGTTATCTACATTTCAAAACCACTAATAAACGTGTTGACCCATGTTTATCGTAACTACTAATGAGGGAAATCGGACGAATTTTCGCCCTACTTCGATACTCGCTACGTTTTCTGATGACTTTTTATTAACTTGTTTTTGTCTCACTAGCTTATACTCATTAAAATAATAACTTTTGACCCCACCAGCGGTTCCATATTTGTCGTGCATGTGATCGTAAGCTATATCGACATTTTGGTCAGACCTGTACCTTGATATCGCATTCTTAAGATTGATGCAAGGATTTTTGGAAAAGCCGTTGCGCCTCGGTGTTTCACCAGTACCTGACACGTAACACTATCATTTCAGCTATGTGCAGAGGTAAAAATTTTGCATTCCTCGTGGGTGACGGGCAAAAGAGTTAACGATTATTTTGTTTTCCTCTAGGCAGCGAACTTGGTGAAAGTTTGCTTTATTAAGGGACAAAGTTGATAATAAATTGTGGGTATACAGTTTTGGGTGTAGTATTTGTTGATTTAAAGTGAATGTTATTAAATTAAATTCTAGAGGATCATAAAAGTCTCGTACAGTAAGGGAGGTTTTGGTACAAATTAAATTATCAGTTGGTGAACTTTATAGCTAGACAGTGACGCTTCTTAGAATGGTTTGACAATTATAAAGTAAACATTTTGGAAATTCGGGCCCAAAACTGTTAGAGAAAGCAAAATATTTAATCATTAGAGCCGCATTAAATCAACGAACATTAAAAAAATCAGAGGAGATGTAAGAAGACACAATATTTGGAGAGAATGTGTATTGTCGATGTACGGTAGGGATAGGAGGCTCCCGGCACAGCTCGGAGGCAAGGCAGCCCGGCGGAGATACAATGTCGAAGTCCCTAATTGGACCGTCACCCGAACAAGCGTTCAACAAACAGTTGATGCATCACTTATAAATAAATGTCTGAAAGGGTAAGAACCACGCAATTTGAACTATTTTAAGAAGTGACGGGTTTGACAGTTTCATATTTTGGGTCAGAAAATCACCTTACTGGCTTTGGATTTCCGCTGTCCGATTAAATGAGGGTATTGCAAAATTAGTACAGAGCTTGTTGAAACATTGAGTTTGCACTTAAAATACAGTTTCTGAAAAAGAGCAAACAGAAATTTGCATTCTTCCATCTCTTAGAACTTACCCTTTGGTCATAACACAAGAGCATTTATATCTTACCAATCATTTAACCTGCAGTCTTATTAAAATCAAGATAAACTATTACTTTACTTGTTGAAGGACAATAAATTCCTTTTACGGCTGATCAAATGCTTTAGCACATGTAACAAACAATCCAGCCTTAAGGAATTTTCGTTGAAGTCCACCATAAACTGAGGTCCAAAAAACATTTTAGTGCAAAATATTCCCATAGTTAACGCTAAATTATGCACAGACATTTAAAAAATGTAAGGCTTTAAAAGACATTAGGCCTGTTGACTTCGAGGGCTTTCTTAAAGGCCAAAGGAGACACAATGCTGGGGCAGAATACGTATCATAGACGTAGGAAAGGTCTTAAGGACTACCGGCATGACCTGGAGGCCAGGCCGCCCGGTGGCAACACAATAGCAGAGCCGTAAGTGGCCCATTATTAAAGCCCAGAACTAAACAAACAAATAAGGATCTACACGTTTATCTCAAACCCTTGTATGAGTTGGAAGAAATATTTGAAGGTCTATGATGCGAATTTTTTAACCAACTCTACGATAGTCACTCAAATAAAACCTTTAACGTACCTAGGTACTAACCAAAAGTTTCTCAAGCGTAACCTATCTTCTCATCACAGATATCCCTCCATTATTAAGTGGGGATTTCTAGAGATGTAATATTCTTCATGTGTTCTACTGCTTCGTTGGGCGGTCATTGGAATAACGGCATGTGACCAGGTCTTTTGCAAGGTTGTGTTAACGTTTGTATTGCTAGTTCTTTCAGCAAGTAAGGCCTGTTGCCGGTATTCGTATTGGATTGTGGGCATTTCGGATAAATATTTGGCCTGAAACCTTCTTTCTCCCTAACCTAATGCCACTCTAAGCCTGTTAAGAAATGAATGCTTAATTTTACTGTTATTATGATGATATATCATCTCTTTAAATTTTTACTTGAGAGCTCGTAAGCAGAAGAGCAGCTTCAATTAAAAAATTAGCGCTGTAGGTAAATCTGTCTGTATGAAAAATGATGAGAATTTTTATGCAGCCTTAATATTCATAAGATGTTTATGATAAATTTGGACTTTATGACCGAAAACAGCTTCATAACCCTAACATGATTATTTTAAAGTTACCCTTGCACGTGATCAAATTCTGTGCTATTAAGTACAAATAATCCGGGTTTTAATGACTTTGTTTTGTAAATCATTTTAGCTTGTAGTAGTCTGGTATCGTTGCACCGGTTAATAATCTTCCTACAGAAAGCAAGACTGGGCTAATTCCCCACTTTTACGTCATCTCTATCCCTTCTACTAGAAGTATTTGCAGACTTGCAGCCGGTGGAAGATGGCTTCCTTCTATGACGTTATAGTATTTTATGCCGTCACCGATATGAGGGTTCTTATTGCTCTGACTGGGTTCTTTTGCAGCATTGAAGAGCTAGGTGATTAGGGTGGTTACGAGTAAAATCTGCGGAGATGGAATCACCCGAATAGTTAAACACCTAGTGCTATGAACTATCGAATCACCAGATTAACAAATAAAGAGCAGAAATGTGAGCAATTTACTTAAATGTTGTAGTAAGCTGAGCGTGCGCTTGGTTTTGTTACAAAAGACTAAAATTTAGGTATAATAGACAAATTCCTCCGTAGAAAGTCTATTTGCAAATGTAAGCTTGTTAATAATTAGAAGTTAAATCTACTTAAAATAATTTTGGTAGCAGATAAGCACTGGCCGAAAATTAGGAAAATGGAAAGGGAATTTCTGCGCATGTGCATTATTTCCAACATGGATGAGCTGACTTACGCATTGCTGAACTCAACTGCACACTACAAATCGCAAATTCGTGCTTGTCACGTCCTGTTCAGATATAGTTCGCATCCAAGGAACAAAGCTTTCTATAGATATATAGCATTTGGCTTACTACCAATGACATTTTTAACATCTGAATTGCATAATTTGACTGAGAAAATGCACTTTTACACCTGGGGGTTTGGTGGAGTGAAACCATGATTGGATTCTGGACACGCCTACAACTGTCTCAAAAACGAGGATAGACCTGCCTAAACATGTGGCCTCCATAGAAAATCTCACAAAAGGAAATTACAGAAGTGAATGCGGGATGGCTTGAAAAAATTTCCAGGTGAAAACTGGAGCTCGCTTTACCAGCTGAAAATATCTTTCACTTTGCATAAGGCAAGCCAAAAAGTAACAAACCGAGTGAGGACATTTTGAATGGATGGAACTGATTAGGTAGTGGATGAATAAGAAGTGTAAGATAAACCTAAGATGGGCCTGCCCACTCTACATCACCTTGATGAATCACCTCAAAACTTCACGCAAAAAAACGCGATGTGAAAGTGAAGGTCCACGGCTTACTCACACAGTACAGGAGTCAGATAGCCAATTTTTTTTCATTTGATAATTCGCTGACTAATTTGGTGTCCACCCTAGATAGCTGAAGGAGGTAGAAATTACGATAAATTTACTAACACTAGTCCTGACCATGGTTCCCTTATTTTTTAACATGGGACCTTGAAAAAAAGTGGCGGGATCATCCACAAAACCATCATTGCATGCCTGAACAAAATACAACGCCGTTGTCTACTTGAAATTTATTTAATGTTCATATTAGATATGATGCCATTTTACTTAACAAAAGAGTTATTGCAAACGAATTCTTAACAAACTATTTAGCTCATAAATTTCACATTGACCATGTTGTCCTTCGTTAAGACGGAACGATTTTTGGGTAAGCAAAATGGGCCAGTAGTCTTTCAGCCCTTCTATGTGTCGACGATGTATATTTTAGCCCAGTATTATGACTTTTTCGTCTTCACAAGAGATCGGGACACTACATTGGTGGTAGTGCAATGCGAATCTTAACGTGATGGAAGCAGGGCATGTGCTGTGAATGGGAGAATCTGTAACTGAATTCCACAAAAAGATTGAAAATGACCTCTAACCCCGGTAACTACCCCAATTCCGTGTTTTGAGGAGTGCTATCAACTAGCTCTAAGCTATTTGGAAAGCTCAATAAGGAGCTGACTACGATACCTATATGAAGATGCCTATGAAGTGAACATGCAATACCTCCTCCACTTCTCCACTAGCTGGATAGAATCTGTATAGACAAATGGTTGGGCAGCACTGAAGTCAGAACAAGGTGACAAGGAGGAAGGGATGCAAACTCCCATCATCACGAAACTATTTTACACTTCG